GCAACTTGGATTTGGTACGAAACCGCTCATTGTCCTGCCTTTAACCCCTTATCTCCCACCGGGGGTCTGCGGGCTGCTAACACAGCTCTTCTCGGAGAAAGAAAACCCGGTGGTGTCCAATCCGCCCCAGTGGTCCTCTCCCACCCCCCGAGATCAGCTCCAACACGGGACAAACCGGTGGCCTCAATGACAGCCCAGGGACAGTCCCAGACACGAGCCTCGAGGAGGAAATACTAATTCTGCAATATTATATCAGTCTCTAACCACTCCCCCCTGCAGGGTCCACTCTCCGGGAACTTCCTCATTGTCCTGCCCCCCCGCGCAGGCATTAACGCGGGGAAGATTCACTTTGTCTTGACAAAGATGCTCCGGGGCTTTAAAACTGTTGACTGTATGTTAAAGAGACAACAACTTTGATGAGGCGCAGAGAGAAGAGGCAGAAGATACATTTCTCCCTGAGCTTGCCTGACTGTTACCGCTCGGTCCTTTGACCCTCTAGTCCCCTACTCTGGTCTTTCCCCAGCAGGAAAAATAAAACAGAACACAGCCAAATCAAATCCAAATGAAACAAGGAACCTGGAAGCGATCTAGAAGGGTGGCCGCGCAGGGGTGTTGCAGGGTTGAACGAAATGAGCTTCTGATGTAGGTAAATCGGGGCAATTTTCTCATGTGGACACGAGGGAATTTGATGTCTCCCCAAGAAGGAGAAGGAGCAGGGGGGCAAAGCTCCAGAAGAGTTCTCTATCTCCCCCTCTTCCCCCTTTCCCCATCCACACGCACCACGGGATCACCTGGTGCCCCCTGGCCTCCCAGGCTTCCTGGAAAAATTGCTTTGTCAACAGTCAAAGCCACAGAACAATTTCTGTGCCCAAGGAAAGAAAGCCCACGAGGGACTTTGGGACCCCCTCCCCCAGCACACAGGCGCTTGTGCCTGCGGGCCAGGGCAAGCGCGGGGCTCGGGGCAGCCTGGAGCTCCTGCGCTTCTCTTTTCGGTGCAACTCCCCCAAACCCATTCGGTCAGGCTTGGTCGCTTTTTCCCGTCCGACTTTAAATGAGAGCCTTTCTGTCTCTTTTTTCGGTTTTTTTTTTAATTTCAAAGAGGGTCTCCCCCCTTTCCCCTAACCCAACCTCTTCCTCCTCCCCCCCACCTAGAACCATTTACACTTCAAAAGAGGCGCCCGCCTCTCTGCGGAAATTTCAAGAAAAATAAACTTTTGGGGGAGCTGCGGTGATACCGATCTTCGGTTTTGCTTCATTAGCTGCCTTTCTCCGACTAATCAAGCCAAAATCTTTCCTATTGATCCCAGACCCCACCCCCTGCCTCCCGCACACATACACATACCCTCCAACCTTCCTACTCCGGGGCTGCCCCTCCACTCCGGCGGAGCTGTGTTATCTCCCGGAAAGGGGTTAATCAAACATTATTTTTAACAATCGCTGCCTCCTCTTTAATGCCACATGTGGGAAGAAAGCCACAATAACAACAACAACAAAAGGGTTCTGAGTCTGAAGGCCAAAGTGTGTGTGGGAGGGGTGGTGGAAATAGGATTCAGGCCCTTTTGCTAATTCCAGGCCTTTTAAAAGGTTTTGACCGAAATCCTTGCCTCCACCGAACCAGTAACTGGTCAGTGTTGTTGGGTTTATATATTTTGTGCCTAGCGCTAATTGTAGCGTATAAAAAGGCCTAATGAGACAGATGTATCCCTCCAGAACCGGGCGTTTGCGGGCAGATTTCAGACATGGATGCGATCTAGAAACGTGGCCTCGTCCCACCGCCTTTTTTTTGCAAGCCTCTGCAGGGATTGCTCCTAAACACTGCCAGTTTTTAGGGGGGTTGCAAGCAGGCCCACCTATTCCCCCGCCCCTTCCCCTCATGTTACTGAATTTCCAGAACAAATTCTTCCCGGCTAATTTTTGTGATCTGTGCAAGTTGTCTGCACGCCGCGGGGGGACAAGGCGCGGGATCCCTTGTTGTGGAGGAAAACGAGGAACCGGCTTGCGGGCTGCTCCCGGGGAGAGAGCCGAGCCGAGCTGGCAGCAGCTCGAGTGCTGCTGGGGCTGGAGGCAATTTTAGGGGAACATCGCGTCTGGCAGATCGGGTCTAGCCAGAGGAGGTGGGGTCCTGATTTGGCAGCGGTGGGCAATGGAGGTTCTTCTTCCTCCTAATAGGCATCGCGCAAGAGGGGAAAAATCACTCCTCTGCCCCAGCACCCTGTAGAGGAGGCTGCCAACTTTGCCCTGGTCCTAGTAACCCGCCTGGGAAAGTGATAGGGTCATTACTTAGGGACGGGAAAAGGAAGCCCTGAAGCCGGCCCCGAATTGAAGTGCGGATCAAAGGGAAGCGCCAGCTTTGGGGCGAGCTGTCGGGTCATGCCGAGGGGGGCTCGGGGAGAGCCGGGTGCAGAGCCCGGGACTGCCTTTGCCCCGCACCCCGGGACGATCGGGGCGCTTGCACCGCAGCACGTCGGTAAAGTTAGTTTCACACGGAGGATTGCAAAGAGCGAGCCGCCCCCTCCCCCCCGCGCCTCTCTCTCTAAGCACCTCTGGTCACGTTGGAGGATGAGGTTTTTTGGAGAGCTTCTGGTACAATATGGAGCACCACGGGCTGCAATTTCACACTCCGCAGCACATTCTCCCTAAAGCTACTTTCTTTTTTCCCATCTAAGACCCCTCGTTCTCCCCCTCTCTCCTTCTCGCGCGCTCTCTTTTGTGACTCATGGGTGGCTTCCATGTCTGGGGGCTTGATGGCGACATGCAGGCCAGACTCCTCGGGTAGCCTGGCCCTGGCCGGAGCGGGCGGGGGCACGTCTTCGCTCCGCTCTCGCCGTGCCTGCTGCTGAGGCTGCGGCGGCGGCTGGCTTTCCTCTGCATTTGTTTGCCCTGAATGGTAATAGCCCACGTGTGCTGCTCTTTATTCAGTAACCGACACTTTAACCTCTCCTCTTTACAAGGGAGCGTTTGCCACAAAAACGAGACAAGCCGGAGACCTTTTACAGCCTCATTGAGGGGGAAAAAAGCCAACAATGTGGAGAGACACTTCTGCAACAAAGCCTCCTCTTAACGTACCGGGCCGAGCAGAGCTGGAGGCTCAGCCGCCAGCCACCCGGGCCACGGCCGTGCGGGGATGGGGCAGGCTTGGTGCAGACACGCAGGCGTGTATATTAGCCCCGGCTGTGTGTGCATTTCTCTAAGCCTTCACATGTGTGCACACCCAAGCAGAAAGCCCCACTGAGCACAGACACATGTACATCAGCTCCCCGCGGGGCATGCAGGGCCTGGGCCCACAGCGGCACCGAGCAAGGCAGACTTCAGATTGTCCTGAATGAGTCCACACCGTGCACAGGGGCTGCGGGCTCACACAGGCGTGTCGTGGGAGGCTCCCAGGCTGCGATCCCGCGTGCAGCAAGCATGAGCACAGCCGTGTGCTTACTGGCACCGAGTCTCCTGCGCACAGACTGCCAACTTTGCCCGGGTCCAGACAGCCCCAGTCCTGGCTGCACACATGGACAGCGAACACACGTGCACAGGCAGAGGGCCAGGCGGTAACACACACGCACGGGGCATAGCCCGGCTGAGCACGCGAAAGGGAGGGAACTGGATCGGTTGGGGTAAAAAAACCTTGCCATAAGCTTTCCTATTTACCCTGATCATTAGGATCACTGAGAGCCCGAGCCCGTCTTGGGGAGGGGTGTGGAGAGGGGGAACTCGCTTCCCTGTGCAGGGGAGCCTTGCTCCACGGCCCAGCTCAAACTGGGGCCCAGCCTGCCTCTCCTGGTCTGGTTCAGGTGTGGGGCCCGGCTGGGTTTTCCTCTTCCCTGACCTGGCCCTACGAGAGAGGGAGGTCCTCGCTCCCCGGCTGGAGATGCCTTTTTTTTTTGGTCCTCCTCTTAATTCTTCCATAAAACTCTCGATGAGTGAATTAGACGCGCATTAAAAGTCTCCCTTTACCCTGTCGTAGCGGGACACGCTGCCCTCCGGCCTCGGCCACTCCGGCCCCCGGCTCCCAGCCCAGCCCGGGCCAGCGCAGCTCGGGCAGCTCCCGGGAGCAGCGCCCGCCCGCGCCAGCGCTTCCACCCCGCGCT